GTCAGACACTTAAAACATTTATTACGTCAAAATGATTTTATGCAAACAAAAAAGAAAACTGACGAAGTTTATTGATATTAATTGTAAATTAAAAGATTCCAATATCAGCAATGTGACATTTTATATTATTGTGAATCGCTAAAACACAGCTGCATACTTTTACTACCCTTCAAGATTCTCCTTGAACCGATATGCGAAGAGAGAGAGTAGTGCTTCAGAAATCATGACTTTTATACAAGCGTGTAATATCTGATATCTCTGATAATCACAGTGATGTTAGCCATAGCCATAGGTAATGCCATTTAATTTATTGTAGTCAAGCCGTATGCTTTGCTACAAAAACTCTTTGTTAGCAAAAATTTTAAAGAAATTTATGTTTTTCTTTTTCTTGTTTATTCTTGTCGTTGATTTATACAGTTGTGTATCATAAATCATTTTGACACTTACATTGGTGAACAGCGGTTAATTGCTTCATTGCGCCGGTCTGAAATTGGACCACAATAATTGCGCGCACGAAATTTGTATGTACGATATACACGCAATTTAATTAATAATATAATTATATATATATATATATATATATAATATATATATATGATAAATGAGAAAAAAGAATTTGCAGCTTATTTTAAGAGTAGTAAAGTTTTCTTTTTAAAATATTATTCCAAAACAAAATAAAATTAGTATTTATAATTGTTAATTTATTAGTTCTTTATTCTTTTCTCATTTATATTTTTCGTCTGTGCGATTTTAAATTAATATAAACGACTTATCGAGATTCATGATTCCGCAGTTTTGTTTTGTAATCATGCTGACAATTCAAACGCGTTATTATTCGATTTTAATCTAAACTTATACTTCAATATTTTGAAATATGTGAATATCCTTTTTTACGTTGCAATAAATCAGCTGTTGTGGAAAAAATGCCGGACTATTTGTAATTCCGATAAGAATCTGATGATGAGGTGAACAATTGAATCAGCACGAAGAGTCGACAATACCGGTTGTATGCAAATTCCATTAGCACTGGTAAGGCATAATGAAATGTTGATAGTTGCTGATACGGCCTCGCAGATTTCTGTAATTATATAATATTGCTAAACATGATCACGTGATAAAGTTAAAGTAATAGTGTAGTACTTTAAAAAAGATTCCGCAAAGCGATCGATAAAACATGTATGAATTAATCAGATGATTTTGCATTTATAAATGCTACAGACTTATCGAGTGACAATGTCAATGTCGATGATTAAATACAAAATATTCTGCAATTTCTTCATCTTCGCAAATACAGCAGTAAGTAAAATGTAATTGTTGTTAATCTTTTTAGGTAATCAAAATATCTTTGTTGCGACTTTGTTACAGAATCGTTTAGCGCAGATTTACAACGCACTTTTCCTTCTTCTCGCGATTTCCTCGCGACAGCACTATTCACACTATTGAAAATTGTGTAATACATAACGTAAAGCGAGATTAATTAACCATTAGCGACACTGTTGTTTGTAATTGCTCTCGATCTACATATCTTGACGCAACGTTTATAAATGATATATATCACGTACCATGCATGTTCTAAGAATCGCGTTATAATAGAACGTCTTTGTACAAGGAGGTCGCCGACTTTCATGAAGCGACGAGAAAAGATTTACGAAGGCAATTATCCTTTTCGCGAACGAGAAACGACAGAGGATAAACGCGTAACGCGCAGGGCAATGAATAAATAAACGGCTATTTAACCAGAAGCAAACATTTGCATATTATCGGTCTGCCACTATCACGTCGCCCTTCCCCGACAGCGTGGGGGCTTCAAAACCGAGCCTGGGAAATGCTAGTTCGATGTGTCTGATCCCGGTTGTGGGTTAATGGTCGTATAAAACGGGGAGGGTTGATATACCCGGTGCAACGCGGGTGAGCACTTAGCGCGTGATGCCGATTACACGCGCCCGTGAACATTTACGCACGCGACGAGAAATGGATTCACGCTCTCTCGCTCGATGCACGAGTGACGAGCGTGCTGCGAACGGCAGGTGCTTACCAAAAGAATTCTAGATAGAATAATTGGATCTACAAGCCCCTCTTTAATTGTTTGATGTTCCATTCGTATGAATCATGTGTTTAAGTCGTCATTAATCGAAAGAGATGATTTATTTAGTCCGAGTGAAGTTCCAATTTACAAATGCAAAAAATAACGTTGTCGTAACTTAACATGTAATCGCCTATCGCAGATGTTTAAGATTCAGACATCATCAGACTTAATAAATTGTGAAGAGTTGATTACGTATGATGTCTTTAATACATACATTTCCTGTCTTTGTTTCTTGTTATTTGTTAGTAAATTAATAAGTTAGTAAGTTATGGCGAAATTATAGTTATTACAGGATATTTTTTGCTATTTTACTTGATTATAAAATTTGCTTACGAATAGCTTATGTAATTCGAGTGAAATCCATATTTACTTGAGTGGATAAAGAATCTTAATAATTCATGTTTTGAAATGGTAAACTTTGTTTTTAATTATATATACAATTTCCATATATTATTGATCACATAATAATCATCCCAATCGGATCAAAGAAAGAAACAGTTTATCCAAAAAATTATGTCAATTTATACAAAATAATGTCTCCATAAATTTATACAATTTATAATTTCGTGTTTATTAATAGAATAACTTTGAATTTATCTGCTGATATCACACGCGCCTGACAACTTAATATTATAATTGCTTTATTGATAACTACGCGGTATAAATATCAAGTCTTGATTACAATTGATAATCGATATCTGGATTTGTAGCAAATAAAAAGAAATATTAATTGTATTTTATAAGAAAGCATTGGTCTTCAAAGTTATATCATGACGTCTTATGTACGATAGTACGTATCAAAGAAAGGGGCTGCGTATAACCACCCCTTTAGTCCGAAATAAGCGCCGCCCTCCAGTCAAAGAGGAAATCCCCTCTATACTTGGAATATGGTGGAGGTATTGGA